ATACACTGAATGACTCTGATGGACCAAATAGTCCATCAGAGTCATTTGTCACACGATATGATATGATGTCCGTGGTATCTGTGCAAAGGCTATTGGCTGCCATTTATCACCGGGTTAATTGCCAGCATGTTTGCCATTCCCGTTAGATACTTAAAGAAATGTTGATTAAATTACAGCGAATGTATAGAAAGCAAGGGACTCGTAGTTCCTACTATTGTGGTCACTTATTCACTTTTTTAAAATGATAATCTTTGTATTTTGTTGGTGGTGAATTCGTTACGATTGGTTAAGAAGTTGGATCAGCGACTTCTACCATTTTATCATTAGTGCAAAGGAATGACCACGACTACGATTCATCGTATTTATATAGTATAAAATAAAATCGCCACCGCTGTCTGTTCCCTGCTAAACTTTAATGCAGTTTTCAGCATTCAGATAGAGTAATTAAAGACGAAGGTTTACATGAACAAGTCGAGATATTAAAAAGATTTGTATACCGATAATTTGTTTGGATTTGTTGTTTTTTTTTTGTAATTACCAAATGAAAACACTTACTTCCATATATCTACATAGCCAATTTCTTTAAGATCAGAATTATTCTTTTTTTAACTTTCATATGCCCGCGCATGTCTGTGAGACCGACGTATCCATTTTTCATAAATATACCTCTTTCCAAGAACTTTGAGAGTTCGCGCGTTCTGCTAATTCCATGATTTGTGTAAGAAAAAATATGATTTTATAAACTGTTGAATTAAGATTGATAGTCTGTAAAATTCAACCAACAATTTATTTATCTGTTTTATTATATCTTATAGTTGTTTGAAAAATTTACATTGTTTCAGAGAAAACTTCTGGTATAGGACCCAAATTTACGGTCTGTTGATTCTGTGCACGAATATAGGAAGGTTAAATATACTGCCTAATTTTATTATTCTAGTTCATGTAATTTCATATCTGTAATTAAAGACCAACGTAAATAAGCACCTGTACCTATCTGTGTTAGTTGGTTTACTGTGCAATGACTGCACTCTAAATTATATTTACCATATAACTAATTTGAACCCACGACTACACATGATTTTAGAAATTTATTTTTTGAGATAATAGATCATATGAAAGTCTATATCTGTCTTCGTGTTAAGTACGATTGTAAAAAATAGACAGACACGTTTTAACATTCATAATGTTACTGCCAATATTGCATCCAGCAGATTGTCTCCTTGACCACATATCTAATATATTTATGTAGCCGACTTTAGCTATGAGGCAGTCTATTTTCAGTCGAGTATAATGAATAACGAATTGTGTTGATTCATTATAATATGAAATGACATTATTATATATTCTTTGTTCGATAGGAAATAAATATCTTTACGTTTAACAGTAACGACATTTAAATATCAGATGATGGTATATTATCTTCACAAGTTTAACTGTTTGTATCAAACAACCTCATAGCTGGTCCACAAGAATGGTAGTCAACATTATTATAACAAATCTTTATATACTTTCGACTTCTTAGTTTTCAGGAATAACAACTAACAAGGATAAAGAAAAGAATAATTATCACACTACTTATGTGTGATGATTATTCTGACTGGCTAAAACCAATGTCTAAGGACTTATTACGTAGCATTTACCAAACAACCAATATATGTGCGATCTACAAATATTTTTATAATAATAATGGAAACATGTATTAGTAGCCTGCATTAGCGGTATACGCTAGGGGGCACTGGTGGAGGATAAAGTTAAGGATTTAACCACCATAGCTTCTAGGAGGTACCGCGTGGATCGACCTCACCCTGCTTACTAGCGATTTATCTAGCATGCTGTTGCTCAGTAATCCCTATTATTAACAATCTCCTTCCATCCAAATATCTATAAGTTATATATGTATGTTTTTACGCCATATCCTCCTACCAATTGTTAATCCCGAAATATCGCGAGCAGTAATAGTATAAGTAGCAATTACTTGAGGTAAAAAATTATACAAAAACGATTAAATTATATTATTAAAAGATATACTTACTTGTAAACTCCATTCATTTAACACTCCTGTGTTGGAGTAGGTATTTATAATGAATAATTGCCCCATTGTCTCATCTCAACATGGTACATTGTGTAGATCTATCCTGATGTAGAAATTTCATGGTTGATTCCTGGTGAATGACGTGGAAATACCATGGTCAGTGCCTGGAGAATTTGCTACGATGCATGGCCTAACTGACCTGACTTTACGTTTATCCTAACATCCCAACGAATGCAGCACCCTTATATGTCACAAGAGGACAAGGGATTCTATAAAAATATGTTGCTGTGACACTTATTTTACCTATTATTGCATTCTATATTATCTACTCAAGGCTTAATAATATAGGATTAACACTTTGGTTTTGTGGTCATTGTTACAACATTTATATCTTTACAATAAGAGGGTTAAATATAGGGATTTATTTTTCATTCCCTTGCAGCTATTGTATATGCAGTACACCATGTATTTCATTCCCCTAGCCAATGCAAAATAAAATTTCTTCCATATTTTTCTAAACATACCCTAATTATATATTTTCACTAATTCCTAAGGCAGGAAGTAACTGAGGATAATTAGGTAATTGCCTTGTTTTGTGAGTGTACCCATGAAATTATACGAATTAATTATCAATAGTGCTTACATATAGGTAATAAAACTCATATTTTTACTAATATTTCTATTTCCAATTTATTGTTTATTGGTTTTTGAAATAAGTTTGTTTCGTTTTATCATTAATAATAATAATTAAGAATTAATAATTGCAAGAGAAACTTCTAATGTCTACATTTTAACTTATTACACACTGCCTCCGCGTCTATATACACATGATTTAATAAAAAATAATGACTTTGACGACAAACTTTTAACACCTATCAAATCTCAGCAATCAATTTAGCTGAATAGCAGATAAAGCTATTTTATTTAAGGTTATTATTGTTTTAATAAGCATTATTATCAGCAAAATTATAGAGAGTCAAATATATAACATATTATATGTATATATAAATATTATATTATTCACAGGTCAAAAGTACGAGAACTGTATTATTTCATTAACTTCAATAACATATATAGACGCGGCATCAGTGGGTTATTGGTAAACTAATCACAATAATAATTACATCCGGTCTATTATTAATTAATCTCCCTTTATTTACAAATAATAACACTGTGTGTACTTAAGATATGAAACTGGTTATTGTGTCGCAATTACAACCATAAGATATAAATTTGTTAAATAAGATTAATTAAAAAGTAACAAAATCAATAAAAGTATCTCAGAGTAAATTTTTTTATAGGAACAACATTTTCCCCCAAATTGAAATTTACGATTATAATAACAATTATGAACACCTAACATTAATTCTCATTTATTGAAAAACACATAATTTAAAAGCTGGTTGAAATCACGAGCACATACTGCATACTATAGAGAACGACATACTTCACATAAAAAGAGTTTCTATTCACGACACTAAGCGTAGGTAATAAATGCGAATACAAAAAATAATAAGTTCTTTGGTTTTATAATAGAGGCAATAAATGCACAGTAAACAGTTATTTATTATTAGTGATAATATAAAGAAGATCTTGTTATCAATAGTTTTGGTAGTACAAATTACAATAAAGTTATGTAAAAGTGAGTATAAAATAAGTCAATTAAAATTTAGTAGAATTATTTTTCCTAAAAATAAAATCACTTATTGAGATCCATGATGTTAGATATGTTGTTAACTATTATAAAGTATAGCAACCGACATATGAAACTTTATTTTAAGAACTTAAAGCAATGACTAGATTCAGTAATGAGAATAAAGCGTCATAATATTTGGTAGTATTCATTTGTCATAATTGACAATAAATTCCTAGCAGTTAATTATAATTAATAATAATTATTACCGATTTCTAAATTGCACATTTTATTAACTTAATTCCTTTAATACTATATTTACAAAATATCATTTAAAAATATTATTTATAATTCGCAAACTTTTTTGTTCTCAAGCAGTGGTGCTTCTCCACCTTTAAATGGATTCATGCAAACTAAATTCTCTGGACGACTCCTTAGTTTTCAGTGTGTTGTTATGTCCTCCGTAATAGTTTTAGCTAAATTAATTTAGTTTAATATTTCCCTCTATCATTAAATAAACATAATTTAATAAAAAAGTAAAAATGATATTTTTGTCACTGCATGAATCCATCCGCGTTGTACTAATTCCTTTCAATTTAGTAACTATACGTATTTAAACTAATGCCTAGTTGTAAATTGAAATGTGATTTATATACAAATGAATTTTAATACTATTTTGGCTAACTGTCACTAATAACTTCTTACTCTAAAATTGTGCCATTTTGTGAAATGTTAAAATTTGAAAATTAACTAAATATAGAATAAATAAAACACAATTAAATTTTCAAGTACTATCTACAACTTAAACGAGAAAGAATGCTCTTAGAGTTATTTTGTACAATTTCAATAATATCAGAAGCAAAATATATAACAAATTTTCTCAATAAATACAATATAAACATTAGGCTGTGTATAGATTAGATACGAGTAACATGCACGTAAACCGTGAAGATAGCCAGTGACGCAGGAGTTGTAGATTACGAATTAATTCTTAAACAAATTTCATTCTCTGTTGCATGTTTCATGCCTAATCTCTACACGATCGTATCCTATTGCGTTGTTCGATGCCCATAAGAAGGGGCACCTCACATTTTAGTGTCCAGTTCGATTCCTGCCACACGCAGCGATGAAGTTACTAACATTAAACACAGAATACTGATTATTTGCAAGGCACATTCTCTTAAAAATCCTGAATTTCAAATTTTTCATGTACATATTCGATGCTCCAATAACATCAAAACGCAACGCGTAGAACACAACGATGTATGATGAAGCGACTTCTATTTATTGTAATGATATGTATATAATCAATTATATACCCTGTGTCTCGAAAAATATATAAGAAGTCATTGTAAAAGTGTAAAAAGAAACGCAATTTGGTTTTTACATATCTACACTAGTGACTAAGTTGCTTTGACTTGGGGGAGTGTTGAAGGATTGAGATCGAAACGAGATCTTTATTGCTCACGAAAGGTCGCCGGGTAGGGGCGCCGGTGGTGGCCGGTGGTGGCCAGTGGTGGCCGATGGTGGCCGATGGTGACCAGCGGAGGCCAGCAAAAGCCATGGAGGCCGTTGGTGGCCGGGGCCGGTTGTGCGGGCGGCTCAGTACCCGTACCCGGAGCTCGGGTACAGCAGCGCCGCGCCGCCTCCCGCCGGTCAGTGCTGCGCCGCAAATTTCATGCGTTTCTGTTTCTGCCTCTGATTACAGAACCAAACGCGCACCACATTCTTCTTCAGGTCCAATTTCTCCGCGATGGCTGTTATTTTTTCGCCCGATGGTCTCGGTTGTACTGCAAAGTATGCCTCAAGGCTCCTTTTCTCCGGTGCGGCTATAGACGTCCGTTTGCGCTTTTTCTCGCCAGCTGGAAGGACGCTCGGAGCATCCGGGTCTCGCCTTTTATTTTTCGCTTGTGCTTCCGCTTCCTCTAACCACGCTTGCAGTATGGGCTTCAATGCTATCATGTTGTTATGACTTAAAGTGAGACTCTCGAAACGACAGATCGTACTCTGTGATAATGCACCTACTCCAGGTAGTTTCAAATTGGCTAGCGCCTTCCCAACATCTGCTTGGGTGACGCCCAGTTTAATTCGTCGCTGTTTGAATCTTTCTGCAAAAGCCTCTAGTTCTCTAGGATCTGTGTCTGTGTCCGGATGTAGTGCAGCAGCTGGATGCCCCAGGTGAGCTGGAGGAGCATGGGTAAGCCCACCGGCATGATGATGGTGATTCATAACGTGGTTCATTGCCCCGTAGCCGTGGAGCTGGTGATGTGGTGGAGCGGCCTCACCCATTGGCGCTAGTGTCGTCATAGACGAAGACGTCAAAGGATCCAGCATATCCAGCCCTTCCATGCCGTGATGTCCCATCTGTGAAAAGAAAGGCTTTTTGTAATTCGTTTTATCGTACTGTCAAATTCTCAACGATAAATAGAATTAGTAGGGTCGCTGCTGATTATTATTTCTTGCCGAATTAACTTCTGTATTCATGTTAAATCGGACGTTTCATTACAAACAAAGGGGACGAAGCTCACATAATAGCTGGGCTCTATATGGAAACATAAACAATAATCTTTGTGCAGATTTGCAGTCATTCTTTATGAGTGCAAACACTTGTGCGTTGCATGGGGGACGAGAGTTGTGACGTGGATTGCTCGAGAGTGTTTTGCCAATATGCTTAGGTTGTTGGCCGCCTTTGTTGGGTAAATGAGTGTTTCGAGTGCTTGGGAAGAGATTCCATATGCGCACGCGTCGGTAGTGTGCATTGTTTACATTCTGTTAATGTAAATAGATATGTAAAATACATATAATAGAATAAATGAATGAATAGAATAAAATAAATTGCTTTAATTATAATATTATACTTACTCTTCATATATTAACAAAAACAATAGATAAGTTTTAGTAAACTATATTATTATGTACCTATATGTTAGTTACTGTATCGATATCACTCATGTAATCTAGTTTGAAATAAAAATAAAAGAGACGGCTTTAAATCTCTTTTGTGAAGTTTGTGGGCCAATAACATTAATATATAATGCACTAACCTGCAGGCTAACTTTTACCGTGATTGAATGAGGATCAAATTGATACCCAATCGAGTACACAACGAAAATGTATTTATATTATATTTAATCGATTTAATGTGCCTCTGATGGCTATTGAAGTTTTATTTCACAAATATGTAGTTTGTTTGCTTATTCGTACCATTTATTTACGTTTCGAGTCCTTAAGAACTCCAATGGACGTATTTACGCATTAGAGAAGAAATACTTCTACAAACCCATACAGTTACTATACACTAGGTAAAGTGACTGGATTTTACCTGAACTGGGAACGCAAATAAACTGAGGATTCAGTGACCGTAACCATTGTCTATTGCGGCTAGAACAACATCCATATAACACAAATAAGTCTACCATCTCAACCGCTGTAATTTCTAAAATCTTAGATTATTATATACTCTATATTGTACGTCCTTCTTGTTAGGAATCCTCTTTCCGAATATTCATTCAGAGTGGTAGAATAAAAATATGACTAAACCAATGTGGGTATATTAAGTTTATTTGAAGAAATATTATTTCCAGTCTGGTTAACACACAAGTTTCTTGCTCGTTCTTCTTGTGATGAGACAGCTTTCCGAATGAGCGGTAGATTAAAAAAAATGTTATGACTATTCAAAAGTGCTTAAATTAAGTTTATTTGATTAAATGATTTTCTATTCTATTTTATTTTTAATACTTTGAACCAGGATACACTGCCTGCGGTTAAACATAATGGAGAGGTACAGAGATACCCTGCTTATGATACTAACGAATTTCTAAAATATTAGATACTTTACTACTTTTTGAAGTAAGAATAAAACCGGAATGAATTCCACAAATTCCACTATATCCCTAACTTGATAGTTGCTTTATCTTGTTAGAGCGGGTGTATTGATACAAGTCCACAATATATCTCACTACAGTGAACTACTAAACGGGCTATAAGTCTTTCGCTTGCAATTTTTCCGTTCCGTGTCGTAGGGTGGCGTTAGGTATGTAACACACCGGCGTTCCCCGGGGGCCGGTATATCACAATTACTAGGACAAGCGGCCGCGTGATGCACGTAACTGTCCAGGAACGGAAAATGTTGGCCCCGGCTATTCCGTGGCCGGTTTAAATGTGGCCGGTTCCAGGCAGTAATAAGTGTGGAAAGAGAAGTGTTATTGCATCCCAGTTGAAATGTAAAATATTAAATATTTACAGTATTTTTTTATTTCTGACCGATTGATGTGTGTAACATAAGGTGCGATCATATTATGACTGGAGATGAATGGTGATGATTATAATGTAATGTTGTTTTTTTAATGTAACTGGAATGGCAAATAATCATACAGTATTTCTCATATTCAGTGGTATCCAGAATATATACCTACACATTACTGAACTAAATACTATTTAATGTGACGGACCTTATATCTATCACTCAAACGTTGTAATTCCAGAGGACTAAGACGTCATACATGCGTACCTAATAGTTTCACTGTCATAACTTATCCTTCAAGCAAATCCAAACAACTACGTTGCTTGGCAGGGCAAATAGGTCACACAGTACACAAAAAACAGAGAAGTTACTGATGCACATAGTTTAATATGGTTCAATCTGTCTTTACTGAGAATCTAATATCATATAATTTTTTTTTGTCTTTTACTCTTATTCGTCCATTTTCATAATTCAAGTCTAAGTGTCAATTTATAAGTACAAACCTGAGGTATATGACATATGTATATGATATATGACAATTACACGTTACATTTTGACATAACAATAATCCTCTTTGTTGGAAAATATTTGGAGCAGCATCAAAATATCGGGATTTCGATATTGGAAAAACGAATTTTACAAGTACATCGAAGCGCTTAATGTAAGTCACAAATTTTATTTTAAACCCCTTCTATAATAATAATTCATGACAATTCACACAGCGCCATCTAGTTCCAACCTAAGTAGGTCTTGTATTATGGGTAGTAGACAACTAAAAGAAATAGTTAAATATATCAAACAATCATTCTCATGAATACAAATATTCGCATCATTTGAGTAATCAAACTCACGGACAAGTGGAAGTAAATTGTTAAACTAACTACTAACTAAAACGCTAACTACTAAAACATACATTATTAAAAATGTGTTCTGTATAGTACCTACAGCACATATTATGCATTATACATTTTATTTGGAATTAATTAATTATATTTATATTCGTTACTCCACATATAAGATAATATTACATATACTAAGTAAATCTATAAAATTAATATTTAAAGAAACACTAAATCGCCAGGTCAAAGAATTATTAGCACGCTAGTATCAGTAAGTACATACATATTTTCCGAGTGAGAAACCTATACCCCGCTTGGGATGTTAATGCTATAGAATTATTGTAATTGTATTTAATTATCTGCGGCTGAGTAAACCGTAAAGTTTCACGGACAGGTGTACAGAAGCCATGCTATAAAGTACTACAATTTGTATGAAAACACGCACAAACAACCCCATACGGGGACGTATGTCATTGTGTAATAATAAGGGTGCATAAACCCCCTGTGTCATTCCGAAGTACTAGTGAAGAGATGCAGTATGATATGAATATCGATGTTCAAAATTATCGACTGTTATCTAATCATAAATTTCTTTAATAATAATTTCACCTAAATGCATTTTGTCTCTTATTCGTAATTTAGATATATATATATATATATATAAATTAAACCCTCTTTCAAAGTACGGGATCATGCGTGCCCGATTTCACTATTTTCTTTGTGATGATTGTTATTGTTAGGAAAAGATTCTTATGAAAGTAAAAATTAAGAAACATGCGCAGAATCTTTTTTATTGATTAATTAATGCGAGTTGAATATACATAGTTCAAACAGTACAATGTTTGTCAAGTTAGCAATGAATAAAAACCAAACATTTCCATATAAATAGCTACACTATCTACGTAACTTTTGTAAAATACGTAAATTTTGAAATTTGTAGTCTATTTGTTATTTTAATATATAAGCTATATTAAGGTAAAGTTTCAACCAAATGTATTAGCAACGGAAAATTAATTGCCAAAAATAAAAAGCAAGAATCTCGACTATTGTATGTAATAGTCATCATACATATTAGTAACAAGTAATGACATAATGTAAAAACAATTTACTCTAAATTTATAATTTCGTTCAGATACTGTATATCGATATATGAGCATAAACGTCACTAGTCTCAGCTCCGATACGATTGCAAGTAGATATTAAATAAATTATACTCTGTTAATAGTGATTTGTATCACAACGTTATGATTTGGACAAGTGGCTGAATATTCTGGGTGTGAGAATACAAATGGGTCCACAGAACAGGCGTATATGTTTGTTTTTGTACAAAATAATTGTATACGTGTATATAACTTTTATTTCCTATTTCATCCATCAAAAATATAGTTCCTAGATGCTACTCGACCTTGTATGCATTTTTAAAATAGAAGATGACCTTTGCAAGACATCGTGATCCCTATAGTCAATTATACATTAATTAAAAAGTAACAAACGAGACACCTTTCGTATTTAAATAATTAGTATAAGTTAGTATGGATTTCTGGTAATATATTTTAACATCTAATATTTAAAAAAATTAGATAAAAAGGTGATTGGCAAATTCACCTTCCTTTACTTAAATAATGAGATGATTGCAAACAGGGATGAAGAAAAAACATATTACGCCGTCCCTAAATGAAAGAAATACGGAAGAAACAGATTAATAATGATGCTTAAATTTAATTAACAGTGTTCATGAGAATACATACATAGGATATAGTTATTGTAAATAACAGACGAAATAATACGAAAGACGCAGACGAAATAGCTTAGCATTATTTGAGAAAATTTGAATAACTATTTGTTAATTTTTCACGACTAAACGGCTGACCAGATCTCGATGAAATTTAACGTATAGATAGTGTATCCCAAACACAGGATTAAGTTATTTACTAATTTTCATAAAATACAAAACTAGCAGAAAACAGCTACTATTTTTAAGTATATAAAATATTTTAAGTAGTGTCTAATACTAATATTAAATGTTAAGTTATGTTTATGTTTTCAAGCGATAATATGGATATTGATATAATAAATTAGATATGTATTATGTAATTTAATTTTAATTATATCACATAAGTAGCCATTCTTTTTGTTTGCAACAAAAAATTTTTACTAGTGGTCGTGAATTGGTTGAAATTCGACGATAATTTAAATTATAAGTTTGAACATTATTAAAGTTTTATTATCAAAGAATTGCTTCACGAATTAACACATTAATAATCACTTCATTAAAAACATGGAAACAAAGTTTGATT